TGCTGATGACAAAGGAAAAGACATATATTTAGCCTTTCAGGAGTATCAGAAGATCAAACTCACAATGGCTGAAGAAATCTTGCTGGTTCTTTCTTCATCAAAGAAGAATAAATGTTTTCTCATACAAAGTAATTTGTGAATATTATCTATAATTCAGAAGAGTCTTCATTTTTATTTAGTGTTAATTTCTCATCACTCATCTCTAGACATGCTGAGTTTTACTTTATTCTAAAAATAGTTTCAGTGAATTTGCACCTCAGCATCACAATCCAGAAGAAAACTTGTGTCTACTCAGTTCTTTGGCCCTATTGCCCCCACATTTCTGCTCCCCCTCTAGCCATGATGAAGAGCAACATACAATATTTCCAGTTTTGGTCTAGCCCTTTGCTGTGACATCCTTACTCGCACACTTGTGAAGTTGCTAAACATCCTACTGAGTCATTTTCAATTGGTGCCAGAAAGAAGACTTTTGCATTTATTAAAAATAATCAGAAACCAAGTTCAAACTGAGTTTTCCAGTTGTGTTTTAAACTACACCAATTAAAGCAAACTGTTCCAAATCCAGGTAGGCTGACACGGTCATGACAGCAGTGCAATGTGAACACACAGCCATGATAAATAGGACAGCGTTGAGCATTCTTAAATTGCAAAAATTCTCCTGCCACAGCTAAACCTTTTCATGACTGACTGATGAAAGGGAGTTATCAAAGCTGAAGAATAAGAAAAAGCTGCTGCTGAAGGATCATTTCATCCCGCTGGGCACTGGAGGAAGGAGGCAGGGAATGAGGTTATTAGGCTAAGCCTAATCAAGCAAGTAAACCCAAAACCAAAAATTAAACTTCGCAAGGCCCTCACTGCTATATATAAAAGAAAGAGGACAGGTCTTGTGAAACACCTTAATGATGCAGTTAGCACTTATGCTAAATAAATATGCTATGCAGGCTGCTATTTTACTACAAATCCCTACTTGTGCAATACTGCTGATATTCTCTGTCTCTCCCATAGCACACAGAAAAATTTAGTAGAAGAGTGATTTCAGACAAAAACTTCAAGTACACCAGAAGACCTCTAGAATCTCATAAAGGGCAAAGAACAGAATAATTTCTAAATCTACCTTCTGGACAAGTTGCTAAGTCAAGAGCTTAGCTTTCACTTTGGGCTCAGTAGGAGAAGTTTTGCTGGAACTGTGAAAAAATAGCTTCAAACTATATAACACAAAGGAAGAAGTACAGACAATCACAGCTACTTTTCTGATAACACTTCAGATTATTTCTTTCACATTTCTAAGTGTTTCTGTGAAGCTGGGAATGGGGAGCTGGTAATAATGGCAAGTTTAACCACAGTTGACTACAAGCATAGTGGAAAAGCAAAAGAGAACAACCAGAAAGAAGTCCCTCTAAAACTGAGTAGTCTTACAGAGAGGGAAATTAAGCATTTCCACTGCAAATATGCATAAACTGCAAATATGCATAAGCTGGAAAGACCAACAGTTAGGATAAGAAATCACGTACCTGTAACAGTTCTAGAAATAACGTCAGCATGGATACCCTCTACAACTACCTTTTTTTCCAAGACAGACTAAGAAAAAATATATATCCTTGTCTTTTGTACTGCTCTTTTGCATAAGTATCGCCCCAGTTAGGCAGATTTTGCTACTTAGAAGTTATTAATACAAATGCTTTCACCAAAGTTGCTGTGGAACTTATTTGAGAAACCAAATGCTGATGGCCACCAGCTGACCACACTTCAATCAGCACATGTGTAATCATTACAAATTTTAATGGAGAAGCACAGCTGACTTCACTGTCCATGTGAGTTTCCTCTATAGACATGAGCCAATTACTGGCTGCCTAACCTCTTTCCTTAAATAAAATGTGAGCAAGGTGCTAAAGGGCAGGTCAACCTTGCTGTAGCATTTTGGATGTAGGAAGATCTGGTTTGGCTCTAATTGATCGTACCAGACAACTTTTCTATGATTTCAGTTAGAATGAAAGCCAGAGTACAGGGAATTTATTCTAGCAAATTATTACAGGCATTTCCAAAAGGAGTAATAAATGTTACCCATGGGAGGCTGATTCAGCCACCCAACATTTGTCCTGTGCTGTTCAGTGTTCCACTTCTCAAAATAAAACAACTCCAGGTACTCAGCCACCTCTTCTGTCGGATTCAGATAGCTGCTGCAACACAGCTGATAACATCCAGCTTACTGAGCAAGAGACTAATGAAAAACCTAGGTTTTCCTTTATGCTAATGGTACTTCACAGTTTTTTTGTCATGTGTGGGGGAAAGGGGACAGGGAAGAGCACAGCATATAAAAATGTCCCTACAGGGGTGGAATATTTCCTCAGGGTACTCCTGAAGAAGAAGACAGAATCAATGATACTTTGATTTCTACACTGCAAAACTGACACTTCCGTTAGCATACTGTGTTGGTGGTCTGGCTTACATTTTACAAACACACATTACAAAAAGCTTCTTGATTTTTGTTTCAAGTAAGTCTCAAGGACTCAGTTTACCAATAGCTCTGCTGGTATAAGGAGATGTTGCCTTGTACTGATTTCTCTCACTTGGAATGCATTGAGAACAAATACCCTTGGGGGCACTGTAAAGGATTAGGGAAAGATATACGGTAATGGTCTCTCCAGAACACCTGGTAGGCAATGGCAAGCAACTTTCCAAGACAGAGCTAGAAGAATCTTTGGTCCTGTGAGGAAAGCAGAACAAGGACTCCATGAGCTATACAGAGCAAGTAGTTCAAACATAGATCCTTTATGTTTCTATACAGAGAAAGTTACTGCAGTACTGTACAGTACACTGCTCCTATAAGTTTGCAGTCTGCTGCATGCTTGGCAGTACTGCATTCAAGAAACAGAGTCCCTGTGTCTGCTGAAATTGAGGAAAAGAAGTAATAGGGCTGAGGCTGGGAGAGCTGGATGGAAGCAACAGAAGCATATGGGATGCAAGGACTTGGGTAGCTGGTGTGGCAATGTGAGAAACACATCAACTTAGTAAAAGGATACAGTCTGGAATTCCTAGTTTGAGCATAAAAGTGGAAAGGTATAGGGCACAGGGCTGGGTTTGTGCTTTCTGGCTTATAGCCATATGAAAATCTTGAGTGAAACTGCTGGAGTTGAAAGTGAAGCTACTGGAGTGTCCAAACCTCTGCTATAATTAGTTGGTCTGGTGTTCCTCACTCATTAGAACCACCATTAGAATTTTTTCAACACTCAAACTCACAGAGATTTTCTGCTGTTCCCTTCTTCAGGCTCACCTCCAGGGAGCGGAAGAAAGCCTCGAGCTAGGCCATGGGAGATTTAGGTTGGACTGCAAGAAGAATTTCTTCACTGAAAAGATTATCAAGCATTGGAATGGGCTGACTAGGGAACTGATGGAGTCACCATCATTGAAAGTGTTAAAGAAACTACTGGATGTGGCACTTAGTGCTATGGTTTAATTGACATGGTGGTATTCAGTCAAAGGTTGTACTCAGTCTTGGAGGTCTTTTCCAACTCGAATGATTCTATGTTTCTATATGAAAGATATATGTGGGACAAACTCCAGTGGCTTTTCTGTGACAAGGACCTGCAGTGCATGGTGGGTTCTAGACATGCTGTAGCAATGAGTGGTTTACAGTAGAGCTTCTAAGCCTGAGGTTGGCTACTGCTTGGGATCAGGTCAGCTGGTAAGAGCTGAGAAGCACATAGGAACAGCCACAGTTACACTCATTCAAATTAAAACTGCAGTGAAGACCTGACTATTAAAGTGCAGACATTACTTCCACTGGGCAAATACAGCAGGGAGGAAATGGTACACAGGAGTATTTGATTTTTGTTTGAAGCTTTTGTTTTAAAAAAGTGTTGAATGTGTCACTGCTGACAGGGGTATTGAATAGTTCCCACTGCTGTGATACAATTGAAATCTCTGCTGATGACAAGTAGTAGCTCTAAATTGTTGAAACCTGGAACAGATCAGCACTAAACCACATTTTCTCCCTAAAGACTGCAGCCTATTGAATAACAAAGGTTTGTTATCTGAAGTCCCTTGCAATCAACCCTTGCACAAAGCATGCATTCCCAATGCCAGCTGTTGTTAACATATTAAGAAGAAACTGATTTTGGATGTGAAAACATCAGGTGTTAAATTTCCTCATTTACCCTTTTCTACCAGTATAGAAATAACTGCATGTAGAAATACTGTTTACTCAAAATAACTATTGTACAAAGTGTGAAATGAATGCAAATCAGTAAAAAGAACTAAATTCTTTTTTTTAAAGACACAAAGAAAACAAACCCCTAATATTTTGTGCACAATTAAGGACATTATGTTTAGGGCTACATAGTGTTTCAGTAAAAATCAGTGTCTGCTGAACATACAAATGGCTTTATAAATGTTTCTTGATATCAATTACATATTACAAACTGAAAAGTGAAATTAGAGAGCAGCAGGATGTATTTATTCATCTAAAAGAGGTCACTATTCCAAATCTGCGGGTACCAGAATACTTTAAAGGAAAGCCTGTACTAAATGAAAAGGCAGCAGAAAAAAGGCAGGTCTGAATTCATCTGGAATAAAATCATCTGGAAAGAGCTGTAATAAAAAAGCAGTTTCAGTCCTGGGATTTTTTAACTAAGCCAGCTGATTAGTTCTACAAAGATAAGGTAAAAAAACCCTATTTAAAAAAGGAAGCACAATAATGAAACCTAAAGAAAGGCAATATAAAATAAATCTCTCAACATAAATGAGATGAGAATTCATTTTCCCTGTGATGCTCTCCACAGCTCCTAAAAGTGCCTGCTGCTGGCAATGAATGAAATAAAAGGAGGAGGGAGAGCAGAGGGAAAGAGGTGTTAGCTTACCAGCCGGTGGAGCTTATCGCTCCACTCCCTTTGTGACGCTGGAAACTCACAAGCCTATAAAATGTGCCTTGGCTCCTTCGGCAAAATCAAAAGCAAGAGGTGGCTGTACACAGGAGAAGTAGGATGCTGTTCTACCCCGAGGTAGCTCTCCTGACTTGGCTGGTACAGCACTTGTAACAGTTTGAATAGCACAGCCAAAGCTTTTTTCTGACAGATCTCCCCTGTACCTCCTGTGCTGCCTTACTTCCCTTTTCTTCCTTCCCTCTTCTTATCTGTTGGTGGGGATTTTGGAGGGTTGGGAAAGGGAGGTAGGAGAGTCACATTATTCCTGGAAGAGAGGAGAGGAACATCCAAGATGACTTCTGTCCCCACAGCCAACTGGAACATGAGCATGAGCAGCAGGGGGAACGTGAGCCTTGCTGCAGCAAGTGATGCCTGGGGACAGGCACTGGGAGCGCCAGCTGGAAATGCTTCTCCCCCCATAGCATCCTCACCGAGCAACTTCTCCAATCAGTTTGTACAACCCTCTTGGCGCATTGCCCTGTGGTCTCTGGCTTATGGTGGTGTGGTGGCAGTGGCCGTTTTTGGAAATCTCATTGTCATCTGGATTATTCTGGCTCACAAGCGCATGAGGACAGTGACAAACTACTTCCTGGTGAATCTGGCCTTCTCTGATGCCTCCATGGCTGCTTTCAATACCCTCATCAACTTCATCTATGCGCTGCACAGTGAGTGGTACTTCGGAGAGGCTTACTGCCGCTTCCACAACTTCTTCCCAATCACAGCTGTCTTCGCCAGCATCTACTCCATGACAGCAATAGCTGTGGACAGGTGAGAAAAGAGAAGAAAAGTTTAGGGGTGAGAGATTAAGATCAGGTTATCTGCCAAAATAAAAATACAGAGATAACAATCATTATGATGAGAGGCAGAGACCTGAATAGGTCATCGATTGTGCTTCTCTGTAGTTCTTGAAGATCTCTCCCTAAACACCGTTTTAATTCCTGTCTTTGGTCTCTGTCCTTCAGCCTTTTATTGTTTTTACTTTCCTGTTGTCTTTTATAACAAACATTTCAGCTCTCTGTTTGACTTCAGCTGCTCTCTGTGCTCTGTCTTTCAATACTAATTCTGTAACAGCACTCATTGCTCAGGGTTTTGCTTCCCCACCTGTGAAAACAGTATCTGTCCCTCAGTCAATGTCATTTAATTCATACTGATTAGGAGTTGTAGAGATTGTGTGTTAAGGGAGAGGATTTCAAATTTCCCTCCTCTCTGTATTTCTACAGCTGGCAGAGGCATTTGCCTCCTCTTCAAAAATCACTTCAGACTCTGTTTTTAATAGCTTTTCTCACAGACAGCTCTGAGCTGCTTTGTTTCTCCCAGTTTTAACTAATGAGACTATTTACATTGCCATCTGTGCATATGCAGAGGACTGATAAGAACATGATTTCAAAGTGCTCAATTTTTTCCTGATTTCTTGGAGATAAACAAGGCTTTGTGACTGTCAAAGAAAACAGGACAGGGAAAAACTTTATACTCTTGACAATAATGGAGTAAGACAACTGTAGTGTCCATAGAGTAAAGGGGAAATGTAGTTGCCTGATTTTCAACACAGATGCATTGATGGACTTTCACAAAAGGTGCTGTGAGTCTCCCCTGGGAAATGTTTCTTTCTTTATTATTGTTTTCATATTTGCTGCACTGGAGAGGAAACTTACTGAATTTTCTTTTAGGAAAACAGATCAATTTGTACTTCAGATCTCTTATTCCTTTTAGCAATCCACTGAGATTACTTATAAAACTCATTTCTACATATTCAAATCACATTATACATCTTTTCTGAATTGACTTGGCAGAACTGCAGCACTTCTAAGTGATGGTAGTTAAGATTTCATAAGGTTCAATCCACCTTCTGAAATATTATTTCTCATTTCCAGATGCAAAGATTGGGAAACGTTGTTGTATCTTTTGTCTGTGTTTATGAACAAGTTTATACATTAATAGGGCTTTTTCATTTGCCCTAGTAATTGCAAATTTTTGGTGGCATTCTCAGCCAGGTGCGTTACTGTTCCATAAAGCTAGAAATGAAAGAGAAAATGAGATTCTTGGCAACTCTTCTACCTCTTTGCTCTGAGAATGGGTGAAGACACATAGAAATCAGTACACTTTCCTCCTGACAGTGGTGTATCTTCTTCCTATGTTAATTCTCATTAATAATGGAGCAGGTAGTGCATCCACTGATCAGGCAAAGATTTCTTTCATTGTCTGTCATTGGGTTTAGCTTAAGATTCTCATCTAGCTTGTGGTTTTCAGAAAGATAAAAGGGCTTTAGTTGGTGCTGGGCATTTAGCAGCTATTGTTGTAGCTGATGAAGTCATTAGTTGAGCAGTTACTCAGATGTTCTGAGTAAGGTTTTTTCATATTTTCTGACAAAATTATCCACAGACATATAGTACTTACTACTTTGAAAGTTTCTAAATTTATGCTAAGATCCAGGAAAAGAAGGTGAATATAGTTCCTCAGGAATCCAAATAGTGCATTTCCAGAGTGAGTGCAATTAGCTCTGCTGCACACTGACTGAAATTCAATGGTCAGATAGAAAGATATTAGAAATGTTTTCCTTGGTTTAGCAATGTGAGATGCTGATGCTCAGAAGTGTGTCAAGTGTGTCACGTAAAACAAACACAAGAGCAGTCTATCCTTCCTTCCCTGTTCACACTGTGATTCCTTTTCCTTTTATACCAAATAACACCTGATGCATTCAGTACCTTTAATAATTTCCTGGCTACCTCTGCAGAACAATTCTGCAGAGTCAAGAGGAAAACTAAGGGTCAAAGAGAATCCCAAGGGATGTCCTTGGATGTACAGACTGTCGTATTCTGGGACACAGATATGCTGGATGGATATTTTTTAAAACTTTGGTTCCCACTTGCATTCTGTAAAAGTTCAGCCAGTGCTTCACTGGACACTCTGCATTAGTTTTAACCCAGTAAACTCATCCTTACACGTTCTTTTAATTCAAAAATTTAAAACAAAAATAACAAAGCTACAAAGTAGGATAAAGCTACCAAGGGAACTGAATTGATGTGATCATATCAGATGATTTTCCATTAGAAATTGTAACCATCCCAAAACACCGAAAGGTCATGGGTTGCAGCTCACTAAAAAGTATGTTGTGGTATGCTCGACTGATCATTTTCAAACATCTAAATGTTCACAGAGTATGAATGAGTTGTTGTGAATCTAGACAACACTGAGCAGAGGTCACAGGTAGTATGTGTTTCCTTTCACGTCTGATTCTGTAGGCCATTCTAAATTGTGTGGACTGTGAGATTACTGAACTGACAGGGAGTTCTGTGGAGCAGGCAGTTCCTGCAGTGGGGTGTGCTGCATCTGGAGCTGAGGATGAAAGTATGCAAGACTTACAGCAAGTATGCCCACCCTGTCTGAACACAGTCTCAAATTTATGTGAGTTTATTCACACTTCTGACCATTCCTTCCCAGTATTTCCCCCCTGCTTTCTGCTTCTTTTCCAACAGGCTGTTTGCAGTCTACTGGAGAGATGCCACAGGTAGCTTTAAGAGAGTCAGCTTAGGCATCAGAAGCAGCACAGATTTTACACTGGACTCCTTCATAGGCAGTCATTCTTTCATTTTTCTTTAGTTCATGCTGCATAGTTCCACAGTTACGGGTAAACTGAATAGGAGATAGTTCTGGAGCCAGTACGCCCCTGCCACTGACCAGTGCATGATCCTGAAGGGTCCGTCCATCATCCTAAACTCCACCTGTGATCACTGACTGCTGTACAGTTCTTGGACATATTAAAGACAGTAACTTAGGCAGAATTTAAGCCTTCTGACTCTGGCCATTGAAGACCCACTGTCCCTTTCTATGAGTTCTTAGCATGCAAAGGAGGTGGTTCAGGTACGCCAGCAATTAATTTTGAATCCCAAGATTGCCTCATTATACTGTGCGTAGGCCTAAAAATTCTCTGCAGATGGTTAAAGTGGAAGTTTGGGGATATAGCAATATAGCACAGAATAACATGCCTTCAGTAGATCTCTTAGTATCATGAATTTTTTCCTGGCTTTAGCACACCTACAGCATTACTTTCTCAGTTACTGTTCTCTCAGCAATTCCATAATGCTATTCTCATTTAAATGAGCTTAACTCTTTATAAAAGCAACCTCTCCAGAATTAAAGAAAGTATTCTAATAATGATGGTGAGTAGTTGCTGATCCTATTCATATCCTACCATTCCTTTTCTTCCTAGTATGGAAGCAAGCTTTTGGCATTTGAAGCCAAAAAACACTTATTCTACTTTACATTACTTTAAATTATATTTAATATTCAGTTTTATTTCTCTTGCACAATCTTCTCCCTTATTCAACACTTGTCATTCTAGTTTCCCACCTTATTTTCTAGACTTCTAATATGTCTGCAGAAGCACACGTATACTGGGTCAGTTTTCTTTTTTTCTGTGACATTGTTCAGTTACTGATGGCTGTTCATAACCTCTCTACACACTCATTAGACTCCAGAGTAAGTAATATGATACAAGCTTGTAGCAGAAGACAGATACAAGGCATAAACACTTGATTCAACTTATCATATCATATAAAACCTAAATTCATAATATGTACACACTCAGATCCTCAAAATATCATTTAGGCTCTTCAATCTCTTCAAGGGTATTCTGTAAGAGCAGTTATTATTGTCACAAAGTAGTATCACAAGCCCTACAAATTAATGTTACTGAAATTCTAAGTAGGCAGTTGGCACATTGAAAAATGTCTTATCTTTCCAGTAGAATACACTTTGATATCAGTCTCTACCCAAGGCCTTCATGCGTCATAAACATTTTAAACAGATATTCCTGCCAAATTATCTAGTATCTGAATGTTAAGTATCTGTTACCTGCCCTGTGTGCTCAGAAACACTTAAGTACAGGGTGAAGTTTATATGTAAAAAGATCTCAAATATTTCTAACAGGTTAGGATATGGAATGCACACAGCATAACCCTGTATTGAGGACATATGGTAGTGGTATGAGCAGAAGATGCAAACCAAGAAGGTGTACACATGCCTGGTATCAAGTGGTTTGTGCTTGGCTCACCAATGAATAGAGGAAGTTGAAGCAATGGAAGGCAGGAAACCTGCATCACCCAGCCAGCTGTCATCCCCAGCACAGAGCTCAGTCCAAACAGAACTGCAGCCTTTGGCCCCTCTCTCATTCCCTTTCTCTCAGATTTGGATGTCTCAAAGTAAATGGTTTCTATGTAAAAGAAGTGAGAATTTGCACTGAGGACTGGGGAGAGAGAGATGAACATCAGAACAAGAAAAAAAAGGCAGATGGAGTTCTTTTCGGATTTCTCATGCTTCACAGGCTGTTTTCCCCATAGAGATCTTCCCCTCATATCTGAGAATATTTTTGTAAGAAGAAATAGATGGAGTTTCTGTAAACTCACTGGTCTAGTTTTCCATAAGATGGCATTTTATTGTTAGCTATTGTTCCTGCCTGTGGTGCCACGTAACTACAGAAAACACTACCTGCCCTACCCCTACTACCAAACTAAAGTTTGATTTGACTTTTTTTTCAAACTAATGGATGACTTCATAATCATGACTTCAGGAATTATCCTGTTTTACTGCATATCACAAAGGAAAAATGCAAGATATGCTTTAGAAATTATCACTATTATTTCTATTCTTACTTTGCTAGTTAAACTACACAACTCAAAGAGTAAATCCTTTCTCCATTTCTCTGTCTTTCCCAAATAGTATTTAAAGATGAAACACATCTTATTTCTAGATTCCAGTATCTGGGCTGCCCT